TTCGCAACGTATGTGAGCTGGGAGCGCGGCGCATTCAATGAGCGCCAAATCAATCTTACTTCAATCAATCTGCGCAAAAATCGCATAGCGCAATTCAACTTGGACTGGATCGCCGTTGGCGGGCTGACTTGTCCCTACGAGCTCAATCTGCTCAACAATAACATAAAAAATATTTATGCTGCCATACAGCCGTTGGGCAGTACCCACAGATGCAAACGACGACTGATGTTGCAGTTCAATCCACTGAACTGTGACTGTAGCCTTGCGTGGGTCTATAGCAGCAACTTGCTTACGCGATATGAACAGTGGACCTGCGCAGCGCCGCCGCACTTGCAGGGAAAACTGCTCAATCAGCTGCAGCGCAGCGATCTCTGCGCTTGGCCGCCCGCCTTTTGTCCAGAACGCTGCAGGTGCTCGTACGAAAGGATGTCATCGCTGATTGTCAACTGTACAGGCGCGCAGCTGCAAAGCATTTCGCAGTTACCGCGCCCCGAACAATTTGCACTTGCTCGTACAACACTTTACCTCGAGCGCAATAACTTTTACGAGCTGCCGGCGAACACGACTTTCGGTTATGCTAATGTGACACATATTTACGCGGCGCATAATCGGCTCGCCTTCATTCTGCCGTCGCATATCCCATCGAAGCTGTCAGTGCTCGATGTGCGTCACAATCGGCTGGAGCGCTTGAGTGATGACTTTCTACGCAACTACCTCAACGAGAGCGATACACTGAAGGAACTCTATCTCTCCGATAACCCTTGGTTTTGCGATTGCGAATCGGAGCTACTGTTGCGCGCTGTGAGCTTACAGCGTTCACGCATACCTGACGTCAACGAATTACGCTGCGCTAATTTCGCGAACACGCCACTACTAAATGTTACCTTCTCAGCAGTATGCACAACTCCCTTTAGCTATTCTAGCTTGCTAGCACTGCTCATTGCCATCTTTTCCACAGCAGTCGTTGTGCTCTCACTGATCGCACTCTTCTACAAATACAAACTGGAGGTGAAAATTTGGCTCTTCGGACACGACATGTTTCTGTGTTGCATCAGTGAACACGAGCTAGACAAAGACAAAACATTCGATGCCTTCATTTCTTACGCCCACCAAGATCAACACTACGTCAACGATACACTGCTGCCGGGTCTGGAACAGGGTCGTTCGCCTTTTCGTATTTGCACACACGAACGCAATTGGCTCGCTGGTGCTTTTATACCCGAGCAGATAATAGAGTCGGTCGAGCAGTCGCGTCGCACGATTATTGTGTTGTCGCAGCACTTCGTCGAATCGGATTGGGC